AAAAAAAAAAAAAGAGCTTCTACTATAGCAATTACACTTGACCCTTAAACAACACGGTTAGGAAAGCTGACCCTCCCATACAGTTTAAAATCCACATACAACTTTTGACTCCCCCAAAACTTAACTACTAGTAGCCTACTGTTGACCAGAAGCCTTGCCGATAACATAAACAATCAGTTAACACATATTGTGTATCTTATGTGTATTACATACTGTATTCTTACAATAAAGGAAACTAGAGAAAAGAAAATGTTATCAAAAAACAATAAGGAAAACACCTTTATAGTACTGTACTGTATTTATTGAAAAAAATCCACACATAAGTGGACCCACACAGCTCAAAACTGTGTTGTTCAAGGGTCAACTGTATTGTTATTTACAGATGCTTCTTCTTTTTTTTTTTTTTTTTTTTAAAGTTTTTTTTTTTTTTCCAACATTTATTTATTTTTCGGACAGAGAGAGAGACAGAGCATGAACGGGGGAGGGGCAGAGAGAGAGGGAGACACAGAATCGGAAACAGGCTCCAGGCTCTGAGCCATCAGCCCAGAGCCTGACGCGGGGCTCGAACTCACGGACCGCGAGATCGTGACCTGGCTGAAGTCGGACGCCCAACCGACTGCGCCACCCAGGCGCCCCTACAGATGCTTCTTCTATCCATATCAGTCTCTTAAGTGAGGTGGAGGGACAGAAGAAAATAAAATGGGTGTTTCTCTCAGGCATCCTGAAATCCAGTGCTGGAGACAGAGATGTACACCACGCAGCGAGGGGATGGTATGAGGAATGAAAACAAAATGATGCCTCAAAAGGGAAAATGACTTGCCGTGGTCTGCAAATGGTAAGTGACAGAAGTGGGATTCGAACCCACGACTATCACATTCCTAAGCCGGAGGTCTTGAGAATGAGTCCCTGCCTTATAATGAAGTTATGAGATAATGCATGCAAGGCATTCAGCAAAGAGTAGGAGTCCAATAAATTGTAGATGAGCGCGACTGTGGCGGTGATGATAATGTTGGTGGCGATGACGACGTTGGTGGTGGGGAGGATGATGGCGATGACGATGGTGGAGGGGGGTAGAGATGATGACTAGAGTCATGACGGTGGCAGTGATGGTGATTTATGATTTTACGGAAGCCCAGAGATTACAGAGAAGGCTGGCTGACCAGAGAGACTGGTGGAACAGGTTTGCCCAGATCTGAGGGGGATCCTGGGGACTTTCAGTCTGAGGGGGATTGTGGGGATGATGAGACTTTAGTGCTAAAACTGGAAAGCATTTATGACCGATCATGATGCGTTCATGAGAGATCTACAGAAGTGGAAAGTAGGGGACACTCCTTTGTGGCCTCCCCAGCGCCCACCCCCAACCTCTCCTAGCACAGAGACTTTCCAGTCATTAGAATCTGGATAACATTGACCTTACCTCCGTGTGAGGTGGCAATAAATGACTTACATCGTTGACTTGGAGGCCACAGATAGAATTCAAACGGTCTCTGAACTCATATAGGAAAGCAATTACATCTTTATCTTCACCAGCAGCCCACTAAAACGTGTTGTTTTCTCAACTACGCATATCGATAGCAAAGCACAGTAACATGAGTGGTACCCGAGTCATTGTCAGCAAAGGAAATCAAATATTCCCATCAGATTACAGTTGTTACAAACATCTCAAAATATCATCTATGCTCTTCATCACTTCTTTTTAAAACAAAATTTTTTTTAGTGTTTATTTATTTTTGAGAGAGAGGGAGAGATAGAGCGCAAGCAGGGGAGGGGCAGAGAGAGAGGGAGACACAGAATCTGAAGCAGGCTCCAGGCTCCGAGCTGTCAGCACAGAGCCCGACGCGGGGCTCGAACCCATGAGCTGTGAGATCGTGACCTGAGCCAAAGTCCGACGCTCAACCGACTGAGCCACCCAGGCGCCCCGCATGGCTCACCTTTTCATACACTATATGGTCAAAATCATCTGTTCGTCTTCACTAGAAAACAAAACCCATGAGGACAGGAATTTCGGTCTGTTTTATTCACTGCTATCCTCCCTTGGATCTAGAAAAGTGCCTGATACACGTCAGCCTTTAATAAGTACTTGTTGGTTGAAAGAATGAATAAATTAATGAATGTACCTGCTATTAGCTCTCCTGGTTAGCTTTCTTAGTGAGGAGGAGCCAGGGACTGATAAAATACTTGTGAAGTTTTAGAATTCTAAATATTCTTGAAGCTCTCTATTCCCTGGTGTATAAAAGAGAAAGTTACGTAACATCTACTTGACGTAGAGTTGTGTGAGGATTTAATGAGGTAAGTTACATAAAGAACTTATCATAGTGCCTTAGAAGCTACTCAACAAATGGTAGCGATTATTATGCAAAACTATATATGGTATATGGTGTTTGTTATGTAGTCTATAGGATTAATCATACCAAACCGGATGTAAAATTAAGAAGTAAAAAAGATGAAGCCAACATCAGAGAAGTCAGACCAGAGAGATGACAAGAAATCAGGCTCTTGGTGACATTGTAGGGCAGCTTGATCAAGCCTCACCTGCCGCCATACCTACCTCTAACCTTCTTAGTCACATGAACCAATAGATTCTCTTTGTTTTGTAAACCCAGTTGAATTCTGTTGGCTATAATTAAAAGTATCCTAAGTGGGGGCACGTGGCTGGCTCAGTTGGAAGAACATGCAACTCTTGATCTCAGGGTCATGAGTTCGAGCCCCATGTTGGGTGTAGAGATTACTATAAATAAATAAATAAATAAATAAATAAATAAATAAACAAACATTTTTAAAAAGGTATCCTACATGATACATGGGCCATAAGCAAAACATGTTTAATCAATTCATACAGCAAACATTTAACCAGCACCTACGTGGGACATACACAAAGGTTGATAGAACCCTGTCCAGGGCTGGATCTTCCTGTTACAGAAGCTCATTGGCTACCTTTCCGTCATCGCCCTTGACACATATACAACTGCACACGTTGCTGTTGGTTACTGAGTGTAGTGCATCTCCTCCGTCGGACCTTCAGCCCCCTGGTGGCAGGCACAATGTCTGCTCCTGCCCATTATGTTCTCAGTGCCTAGAACAAGCCCTAGCATAGGACAGGTGCACCACACATAGTTGGATTGTGTGAACACATCGAATGAAGGTGTTATCATTGCCGCTTTACAGGGGAGGAAACTGAGTCTCCATTTGCTCAAGAAATGTGTTCAAAGTCACCTTACTCACCTGTTGCCATTGTTGCACATCAGGGTTCATGTACATCAGGGTTCATGAACATCAGGGTTCCTAGTAGACAGTGGATCAATTGTCCTACCTTGGTTTTTAAATGTTTTAAAGACCCCCAGCCGAGTGGAGACATCCTACTCAGACTGTGATAGGTGATCTGAACAGAAGATCTAAGCAGTACAGTAAAAGGAGGTCATGGCTCGGGCTGGTCTGTCTCCAGGCCAGCTGTTAAGATGTTAAGATGCTGTTAAGCCAGCAGTTAAGATGTTGCCGGAGAAACGCTCTATGTGTACGCATTCTGGTTGACCACCCCGAGGAGAGGCAGGATTCTGTGGGTAGTGGTATCCCGCCTTGCCTCTCTCTGGGCAGCCAGTGGCATGGTGTGGCCTCATATCACTGCAGGACACCCATAAATTCACAAACACATAACGTGAGTGCCTATTCCTAGGTATACGTATATCCAAGAGAAATGAAAACACATGTTCGAACAAGCACTCATACATGAATGTTCATAGCAGCATTATTCATAATAGTTTAAAAGTGCAGACAACCTGACTATTCATCAGCTGATTAACTGGCTAAGCAAGATGGGGTGTCTCCATACAATGGAATATTATCCATAAACTGGAGTGAAATATTGACACCTGTTATGACATGGAGGCACCTCAACAACATCATGCTAAGTGAAAGAAGCCAGACACAAAAGGTCACATAATGTATCATTCCATGTACAGGAAATGTTTGGAACAGGTAAATCTGCAGAATCAGAGAGCACATTAGTGGTTGCCAGGGACATAGGGGAGAGGGGGGTAGAGAGTGATTGTGTGCTGGGTACGAGGCTTCCTCTGGGAGTAATGAGAACATTCTAGAACTAGAGAGAGGTGATGGCTGTGCAACACTGTGAATGGATTACATGCCCCTGAATTGTACACCTTAAAATTGTTAATTTCACATTATGTGAATTTTACCTCAATTTTAAGAATTTGTTTTTAATAGCTAAAATCTGGGGTGCCTGGGTGACTCAGTCAGTTAAGTGTCTGACTTTGGCTCAGGTCACCATCTCATGGTTCGGTTCATGAGTTTGAGCCCCGTGTTGGGTTCTATGCTGACAGCATGGAGCTTGGAACTTGCTTCAGATTCTGTGTCTGCCTCTCTCTCTCTCTCTGCCCCTCCCTTGCTCACCCTCTCTCTCTCTCTCTCTCAAAAGTAAATGAACATTAAAATAAATAAAAAATAAATTAAAAAATAAATATCTAAAATCTGACCATGGAATTGTTATGGAATAGTCAATGAATTCATATATTCAAAGCATTCAGAAAAGTGTTTACTCCATTTTATACACTCAATAGATGGTTGTTACTATTATTAATGACTTAGTTCTATACTTATCTTAGAGATGGAAAAAATGGAGGCAAAGAGCCGTGGAATGACTTGCCCAAGCTTACACAGCTGAAAAAAAATGGATGAAAATTCAAGCCTAGATTCAAATTCAAGTTTGCCTGGCTCCAGGGACCCTGCTGTTTCTGCAACACAACCCTGTCACTGTCTGAAGGTTGCTGTATCAGCCAGCATTCCATCAAGACAATAAAAGCCACTCCAGGAATTTCAAGCAGGAAGGAACTGAACACAGGGAATTAGGTATTTGCAAAGAGGGAATCAGAAATAAATCAGGAGAGGCCACCAGCTTCTAGGGTCAAGGGTTATCATACAGGTAAATGTGCTGCCACCTGGAGTCAAGAAACTCCAGGACATTGTGGGCCCTTTTGTGGTCAGCACTGCCCTACAAAAACTCCCATGTGCAGAAGCCCACACATCTACTTTTGGTGACAAAGGAGGAAGAATGTCTTCTACCCCTCTTCCACCTTCCCCCTTCCAAGTGTCATGTGAACATATTTCTTCAGGACACTGTGAACTCTATCCATAACCTTGCCATAAAATCTGGAAAAAGTTGTTCCTGAACTTCCAGCCCACATGCACGGTAAGAACACAGAAGAGGGCAGTATGGCTACCAGATGCCAACAGCCAAGTTCATGAGCAGGTTCCAAGGCCAGTCCTATTTGGTTAGGCAACCAGGTAGGTATTCTTTCATTCTTTCCACCAACATTAATATTTATGGAGGGCCTACTATGTGCCATGCCCTGTGCTGAGCCCTGGGGTCAGAGCAGTGAATGGGCCAAAGCCCCTGCACAGTCTACATGCTGTGTTCGAGGGAGATGGAAGCGCCATCTGAGACCAACAGGTCAGACAAGGTCAGTCTGGCCACTAGAGGGGAGTCTTCTGCTGAGGGAAGTTCATCAACACCCATCCATGGAGCACCTACTATATGGAGACTGTGTGAGGCACTGGGGACACAGTGGTGAATTCGCCAACATGCATGTCCACATGCCTTTCCATATTCTCTCCCAGGAAGAATTCATACAATCTGGTAACTGTACATGTGTCTTCTTAAGTCAGTGCCTCCAGCCCTGGCCTCTGTCCTAAGCTCTAGACTCTTGTATCCAATTGCCTGCTTGGCATCACTATCATCCTCATCATCACCATCATCATCATCATCATCATCACCATCATCACCATCATCACCATCACCATCATCACCATCATCACCATCATCACCATCACCATCATCATCATCACCATCATCATCATCATTGCCATCATCATCACCATCATCATCACCATCATCATCATTGCCATCATCATCACCATCATCATCATCACCATCACCATCATCACCATCATCACCATCATCATCATCACCATCATCACCATCACCATCATCATCACCATCATCATCATCATCATCATCATCACCATCACCATCACCATCATCATCATCATCACCATTATCATCATCACCATCATCATCATCACCATCATCATCATCATCACCATCATCACCATCATCACCATCATCATCAAGCAACATATACAATACATACTTGGACCAAGCACTGTTCTAAGCACTGTACATAAATTAACTCCTTTTATCCTCATTCATCCTAAGAAAGGAGTACCATTATTATTTTCATTTTACAGATGGTAAAAGTAAGACATCAGTTGAAAGTAGATTAAAGTAACTTGCCCAGTTATTACTAGGTGGCCAAAAATCCAACCCAACTAGTCTGGCTGCAGAGATCTCACCAGTAGCCCTTATCAGATGCTCTAACGGCATCCCAAGAGAAATTTCAACCCCCTCCCTGAAACCAATCCCAAGCTTCTGCACTTTGATAATGACATTTGCCCTGTTGCTCAGGCCAAAAGCCAGGAGTCGTCCTTGATTCTGCTCTTTCATTCCCACCCTCATGTTTAACCCCCCAGCAATTTCCATCAGTTTTGCCTCCAAAATATTCCCCAGCTCCACTCACCTCACACCATCCCCACCACTACCACACTAGACTCTTTCCTGGTCTACTGGTCACTCTCCCAAATGGCTGCTCTGTCCCCATTCTGATCTTATCCTCCCCTGTAGCAGGACTCTTGCACAGAGAGTCATGACCCTGAGGCTTTTCTTTCCAGGAAGCAACTTTATTCGTGCCGGCACGGCTCAGTTGGGTTCATACCGACAGAACAGAGCCCTGAACTCCACGTGGCGTAGCTTTTTTTTATATTTTTTTCACTTCTCTGTCTCCCATATATGGTAACACACAAACATGTTGTCTGATTAAGTGGTCTCATGTTACAAGGTCGTGAGGGATGTTGTCACATAGGCGTACAGCTGGGTTGCCTTGAGGTTTATTTTTTTCTTTTCATTCCTTAGGGAGGGGACCCTACCACACCCCCACCCCCAACATCATACTGGTCTCTTAAAATATAAATCAGTCACGTCCTATCCCTGCTTAAGGGCCTCTGATGGCCTCTTGTTGTGTGATAGGGTCCCCTCCCTAAGGAAAGAAAAAACACAAGGCAACCTAGCTATATGCGTACGTGACAACCTCCCTCCCAACCTGTAACGCAAGACCACTTAATCAGACTGCGTGTCTGTGAGTTACCTCATATGGGAGACAAAGAAGGAGAAAATATATAAAAAAAACTACGCCACGTGGAGTCCTAGGCTCAGTTCTTCGGGTACGAACCCGACTGAGCCGTGCTGGCATGAAGTTGCCTCCTGGGAAGAAAAGCCGCGGTGTCACGACTCTGGAAGAATGCTGCTACAGTTGTACTTAAAATCCAACTCCTTGGCGTGGTGTCCGAGGCCCTACGTGATGTGGCCCAGCCTATGTCTGCCCCTCTCTGCCTTACTCCGCTCCAGCCACACTGTCCTGTCCACTGTTCCTCAAACACTCCAGACGCCTTCTGGCCTCAGGGCCTCCGCACTTGCCTGGAATTTTCTTCCCCAGACCCTCCCATCGCGGTCTCCTTCTTGGTCTCAGCTCAAATGTCGACCCCTCGACGAGGCTTTTCCCTAACTACCCTTATTTAGATAGAAACTGTTTCAACTCTCCGTTTCTTTTTTTTTTTCTTTTTTAAAAATTAATTAATTTTTTGGAGAGAGAGCGAGCGAGCAGGGGAGACGGGCAGAGGGAGAAAGAATCCTAAGCAGGCTCCACGCTCAGCACGGCGCCCAAAGCAGGCCTCAGTCCCGTGACCCTGGCATCATGACCTGAGCCAAAATCAAGAGCCGAACACTTAACTGACTGAGCTGCCCAGGTGCCCCCCAACTTCCCATTTCTTTACTCAGTTCTATTTTCAGAACGCTTCTCGTGATCTGAAATCACCTTATTTAGTAATCCGTTGACCTCTTTAGTGTGTGTGTGTTTTTCTGGGTTGTTGTTGTTGTTTTAATGTGAGTTTCCTTACCATTTACTGAGCCCCTGCTTTGTGCCACCTTGCGGATGGCTGTCATCTCCAGCACCAAGGACAGAGCCCACGTGTGCCCACTAAACATTTGTTGGGAGGATGTGAATATAGTCCAGGCTCTGAGAGAACGGACATTTGCGTAGCGGCCCCCTGGCAGACTCTAAACCGAGAGTGGGTGGAGCCTCGGCAAGACTGAAGGAATGACCTGACCCGGAGGCAGTGGTTGAGACATCGATTTA